CTACATGTGTGCGCACCCAATTCCATTCTGAGCTCTGAGACACGGGAACTTTTCTATTCTTTATATCTTTCCACGGTGATATATTTAAGAATATAGACAATATATGTTTGTTGAACAGCATTCTTAGGCTCTTTGCAGAAACCAGCTTTCTTGTCTGTGTGAAAGTTAGGCACCTCCCTGCAGAACAGGAAGGAACAGACTGCCTCACATCGGTACCTGTACCACATATATATGTTTATCAAATTTTTTCAGAGGTTTCAACAAATAACGGCTTATTCTTTAGTTTACCAGGAAGAGATATTTTACTCCAACAATTTTGTATTTTTGTATGGAAAGTAGTAACGTTTCCAAACTGTTCTTGCCATATTTTCAGGCACAAACGGTGGGGCTGCCGGTGACCGTGCATTCACCCAGCGTGCGGCTGATGCGGTCCGCCCTCCTCCCACAGGCGTCCAACGTGGAGGCCTTTTCATTCCCAGCATCCGGCTGCCAGGCGGAAGCAGCATTTATGGAAGAAGAGTGTGTCGACACGCCAAAGGTACGGACGTGTTTGAAAGACTCTGAGCTTGCTGGTTGGCCGGGCCCTCGCTTTGGTCCACGAGTGTTGTACTTTGGCTTTGTTGACCTTTGTCATTTCCTTAAGTCATTCAGGAGTGTTGTTTTTGTGCAGAAGACCTGAGAAAAATATCCAGGCTAAACTTGGCTCTCCTCATCCCCTTATCGTTGTGGCTGTTGCATAACTCTTTAGACCTTCTATGTACTTTCCAAAATCCTTCTTTCCCTTTCCTTAACCAGTCCCTTCCCTCTTCAGGTTTCTAGATCCCTCTTAGGTGTGGGATTAAAAAAAATTGTTATTCTGAAAACAAAAGTAATTTTTGTGCAGAGTTGGCCTTTGTATGTTATCATTGCCTCTTATCTGCGCACGGGCTGCAGCTACAAAGTGATGGGCCGTCTTGTTTGGTTCAATTTTATTTGAAGGTTTTATTTATTTATTAGAGAGAGAGAGAAAGCACAAGCAGGAGGAGGGGCAGAGGGAGAAGCAGGGACCGTGGGATCGTGACCTGAACTGACGGCAGACCCTTAACCGACTGAGCCACCCAGGCGCCCCTGTTCAGTGTTTTGTTTTCGTCCGTTTGAGTATACGTGATGGAGATAAGTTTATCCTCGTATCCTGCGTGAAGTTGGCTTGTAGCACACAGATGATGATAGCTTCTCTCACGTATGGGGTGCTTATTCATCTATGTTTTATCTACTTAGCCTCAAGTGGTGTCCAGAGGCTTGTGTTAATGGGCAGACCTTGGAATGTGTTCAGAGTAGTCTCTGTTCTCCACCGGTTGTGAACTTGGGTGGGGTGACTGCTTCGAACCTCTGTGTTCTGTAAAACAAGAACACCCAACTCTGTGAGCCTCTCGGGAGGGTTGAGATCGTGTGTGTGAGATTCTCGGTGTATTGTAAACACTCATTATTGGTTTCCTGTCTTTTTAGCTTCTTTAGGTGATGAAAGGATAATTCAGACATGAGTTTTGCCTCCAAGTTGATAGTCTAGCAGAGGAGACATGATAACTACAGACACTGTGCCAGGTGATGACTAAATTGACAAATACCATCAGTCCCTTAAAGAAATGTAAATCCAAGTGCGACGAGCCTGGGAGGAAGCAGGGGAAGATGCTCTTAGCTGGTCTGTTCAGGAAGGTGTGGGTTAACTGTCGGAGCTGGGAATTGAGGGGTGCACAGAATAGGGGTGGACGGCGTTTTGGTGAAAGGGAAAGTCTGAGCAAGCAGATGTCAGGGAAACTTAAGTCTGTCTAAAAGCAGTAGCCCCGTGTGTGTGTGTGAGGAAGAGGGGAGATGGAGGGGGGTTGGGGAAGTGAAGACGAGCAGCTCTGCTTTGAACGGCAAGCCCGAGGACACCGGCTTTTCCTCCGGGCTGCCGTCCGCGGCAGGAGGACGCGCGCCAGGGTTGTCAGGAGAGGGTTTCACGGGGACTCGTTCAGCGTAGGAGGAAACAAGTGAAGGTTTTTGGTCAAGGAAGTCGTCAAATGCATGTTGTGCTTCAGAAATTAGCTGGAAGGTCCACAGCCTGCGTTGGATGGGGACAGGGGCCGTGGCGGCTTCGAGCAGTGTGCCCAGAGGGGCGACGACGAGGGCCTGCGCTAGGCTAGCGCTCGGGAAACTGCAGGGGAGGGGCGACGTGAGATTGTGCAGCCAAAATGGATCGACTGTTTGGGTCCAGAGAAACGAAGTCCAAACTCATACCAGTATGTCTGGAGGTCGAGCTGATTCACAGGTTAGGTCACGTGTTCAGCTAAACCGTAGTCAGGGCAGCTTGAGGCCGGTCTGCACTGTCACGTGTCAGGCTGAGTTGGTGACGGTGAGTTCACGTCCATGTCCCCAAGGACGAGGCCACTTCCCACGGACAGTCTATTTTCTCTGCCTGCGGTTGCCCAGACGATGTTCAGTCACCTCATTGACTTTCACATTCTCACCTAGAAATTAAGCTATAAATTGGGACAACATAATTCATTTATTTTTAAGATCTAATTCTGTTGAAAACATTAAAATGCATTCTGCCGAAAGCTTATCTGTGAGGGCATCAGGCTTGAAATACAGATTGGGCACTGTCTGCTGTATTATATAGGGCAAGCTATTTTTAAAGCTTGTGATTGTTACCGTAACTAGGAAACAGACAGGAAATGAATGATTTTGTGAAAGATAAAGGCAGGAGCTAGATGCGGTATTTGCATTTGTAGGAACAGCAGGAACGCGCTGGACCCGGCCGCCTACAACGGCAGGGCTCCGCGGGCCCTCGGCCAGGCCACTCACATCCACTGGACTTAGCTGTGGACTATTTCGTTGATGTCAGGGAAAATGCTGATCCCTCTTCCCTCCCTAGGACCTCCCTTTGGGGGCCCGTCAATGAATGCACACGCACGGAGCTGCAGGGCCACAGCTCTGTGGTTCACAGTGCCTCACTCGCATTTACTGGGACACCCACTTCTGTCTTCTACAAGATGCTTCCTACATGAATGTATTGTTCATTCATTTCTACTCCCAGTTGGTGGCAGGTATTGCCATCACAGAGATTTTACCTCTCCTTTTCTTGCGGAAGCCTTAAACCCGTCAGTAAAATCCTTGAGGGAGTCTGCCTTGAAACATTGGTTTGGGGCTCCTCCAAAAACTACCACCTGAGACCGCTACCCAACTCTGAGCAGAACTGAGACCCCCCCCACCCCGTGACAGACCATGTTGGGGGGGCAGGTGCACAAACCGTCTAGAGGCAGTCTTTCTCTTTTAAGGGTTTCTTTGAGGGTAACCAGTTTCTTTCCAGTTTTATTGAGAAGTAATTGGCATCATTGTGTACGTTCAGGGTGTACAGTCGGATGGTTTGATCACACGTACCACCACCGCAGGTTCAGCTAACGTCCATCTTCTCGCATAGATTCAATAAAGAGAGAAGAAAAGAAAAAAGAAAAATATTTCCTTTTGATGAGAACTCTTGGGATTTATTGTCTCACACCTGACCTGCGTGTCGTGCGCAGCAGCGGCTGCAGTCATCGTGGCGGACGGCACATCTCCGGTGCCTGCTTCCCACTTGTGCCTCACCTTCCTGCAGTGCCCCCCTCCGCCCTCGGCCTCTGGCGCCCACACACGTGATCCGTTTCTGTGAGCACGCTTCCGTTCTTCCGGTTTTCTTCCATTCCACATCTAAGTGACACCGTAGAGTACTGTCTTGCCCTGACTGACTTCACCAATCATAATGCCTTCCAGATCCATCCCCGTTGTTGCAAATGGTAGGATTTCCTTGGTTTTTTGTGGCTGAGTAATATTCCTGTTGTGTACCAATAGCACAACTTGTTGATCTGTTCATCTGTTTGTGGACACTTACCCAGTTTCCGCGTCTTGGCTGTGGCAGCCCTGATACCTTCCTGAGTTACTGTCATTTTCTTTGGATGTAGGAAGAACGCCATTTACACACACACACACACACACACACACACATATCTTAATCACTTTTGTTTTTTTAAAGATTTTATTTACTTATCTGACAGAGATCACAGGTAGGCAGAGAGGCAGGCAGAGAGAGAGGAGGAAGCAGGCTCCCCGCTGAGCAGAGAGCCCGACGCGGGGCTCGATCCCAGGACCCTGGAATCATGACCTGAGCCGAAGGCAGCGGCTTAACCCGCTGAGCCACCCAGGCGCCCCTCTTAATCACTTTTAACATTGTACTAGAAATTATAATAAAAGGATTTCCCAGGCTCTTTCATAGCTGGGTAACTGAGCTGGGGAAAAAAACGTGTTCCAGGTCTGTTTCCTCTAAAATAAGAGTAGGTCTGAAAAGGATGTACCCCTAAGGCTTTGTAAAAGGGAGACAATTAACACTTTTACTTCTGAATTTGAATTTTTAATTTATAATTGAAAAAATAAAACCAGTCAGAATCACACATGGAAAATTCAGAGAGGGATAAAGGAAAAATTATTCATAATCCCACTACCCAAATATGGGCATAATTTGAAACATTCCTAAGAGAGGATTATAGATGGGTGGGTAGGTGAGTGTAGGGTAGCTCAGTCAGTAGGTAGACTTGTTAAAACAAAATTATGCTATATTCTTTTTTTTTAATTTTTTTAAGATTTTGTTTATATATTTGACAGAGATCACAAGTAGGCAGAGAAGCAGGCAGAGGGAGGGGGGGAAGCAGGCTCCCCACTAAGCAGAGAACCCGATGTGGGGCTTGATCTCAGGACCTGAGCCAAAGGCAGAGGCTTAACCCACTGAGCCACCCAGGCACTCCAAAATTATATTATATTACATGTAATTTTGTATGTTGCATTTACATAATGTAACATCATGCGCCTTTTTCCAGATTATGAAATTGGAAAGTGTAAGTTAGGAGTGCCTAATACATTGTATTAGATAAACCCATATTTAATTACTGTTTTGGCCATCAGGTACTTTAAATTTTTTTGGCATCCTTAAATGTGCCTCAGGTAAATGTCCTTGTGTTTAAATCTCTGTACCTCTGATTAATTCTTCAGGATAAATTTCTAGAATTGGGATTATCCAGTTCTTTCTTTCTCACCTGGTTATCTGTTTATTTTCATTTTCCTCAAGATGGTAAAAAATGCTTTAAAAGAATATGGGGTAATTTTATTCTCCTGCCTTTAAAATTGTTATTGTTATAAAGCATTCTTTTGGGTCAGGAAATAAGAGTAAGGGATACGATATTTTATTTTTTTGTTTGTTTTTTTATAAAGATTTTATTTATTTATTTGACAGACAGAGATCACAAGCAGGCAGAGAGGCAGGCAGAGAGAGAGAGAGCAGGAAGCAGGCTCCCTGCCGAGCAGAGAGCCCAATGTGGGGCTCGATCCCAGGACCCTGGGATCATGACCTGAGCTGAAGGCAGAGGCTTAACCCACTGAGCCACCCACGCGCCCCCGGGATACGGTATTTTAGTTAGTCTTCCCCAACAGCCACTGTACCCGTGAGAGAAACTGAGCTTTACAGAAACTCAACAGTCTGCTGGGAAAGGGTGGCGCTGAGGCTCGGCCGTGCGGCCTCAGGACGCGCCCAGCCTGCCGGGTGCTGAGGATGCGCGGGAAGGAAGACACTCTCAGCCCCCAGGTTCACGGGCTGATACCGGGCACTGGTCTAGCTTCGTCAGCTCAGGTCACCGTAACACAATACCACAGGCTGGGGGGCTGAGCTGCAGAAATCTATTTCCTCACAGTTCTGGAAGCTAAAAATTGAAGATTGAGATAAAGGTCGTGACCAATTTTACTTCTGGTGAGGACACTTTCCTGGCTTATAGAGGAGGACTGCCTTCTCTCTTCTCCTCCCCTGGCATCTGCTCTCTGCTCCCGTGGGAGCGTCCTGGTATCTTTTCTTCTAAGGACACTGATGCTACCAGGGCAGGGCTCCGGCCTTGTCATCCTGGTTTAACTACTGCCCCTGGGAGGCTGCTTCTCCAGATAGAGTCACCCTGGGGACTGGGGTTTCCATATACGAATTTGGTGGCAGAGGAGGTGGGGTGAGAGATGGGGTTGAGACACAAGAATTCGATCCTTCTTCTGTGCTAGAATCTTGTATTTCATGGTGGACTCAGGTGTTAAATCATGGCAGAGTTTCTCAGCGTCTGATTTCCGCATCTGTATTGTCTATTGAATTGAGGTCTCTTACTGGGAGAGATGGATCGAGGAGCGCCTGGGTGGCTCATTTGGTTGAGCGTAAACTCCTGATTTCAGCTCAGGTCATGCTCTCAGGGTCCTGAGATCGAGCTCGGTGTTGGACTCCATGCTCCGCAAGGAGTCTGCTTGGGATTCTCTCTCTCTCTCTCTGCCCACCCCACCCCCCACCCCCACTCCATGCTCACACTCTCTTAAAAAAAAAAAAAAAAAGTGATCATTTGAACTTTAAAGACAAAAACATTGTGTTGTAAAATGTCCATTTCACCCATGGGTCTTGAGGCCCTGTAATTTACAGTCAGCCTAGAGTATGTCCTAGAGCAAAAGTCTCACTGCTAGTAGCTTAGGTCACATAGGTAGATCAGTCCAGTATCAGTCACGAAATCCTAGGGCTGAATTTGTTCTATCAAGACACTGGATAAATTGGCAGGCAAGGGTGGTGTGACTGTCACCTATTTCAGGAAATGAACTTACAGCTGATGGTGTTCACACCTATTAACTATGTATGAGTGAGGGCCCCCCACGGTGCTTTCTGATTTAATCATCATCAAACAGCATCTGAAAAACCAAAACCAGATCATTGTTTCCCAGAATGAAAATGAATTGAGCAAATGTGGTTTTTTTTTGGTTTTTTTTTGTTTTTTTTTTTTGAGCAAATGTTTTTAAATGAAAGACATCATTCCCTGTTGTAGTCTAGAGGAAGGAGCTAATTTATATGCAGAGAATTTAAGAAAAGAATGTAAATTTAGGGGGACTGCAAGGTCTTCTGAGTGCTCCAAAAAAGAGGACTATCCTCTATTAAGAAAAAATAACCTGGTTGCAAGGCTGTGCCGTGAGAAATAGCTGGTACAAGTCTAACAGGCCACAGGAGTGCAATGACGCGGGGCGCCGGGGGCTCAGGCAGTTACACATGTGCTTTGGGCTCAGGTCATAAGCCCAGGGTGCTGGGATGGAGCCCTGCATCGTGCTCCCTGCTCAGCAGGGAGCCTGCCTCTCCCTCTGCCCCTCCCCCTGCTTGTGCTCTCTCGCTCTCTTGCTCTCAAATAACATCTTCTTTTAAAAAAAAGAGTAAAGATGCTTAATGGATACTTAATACCAGTTTTTTCTCTGTTGCTTTACTCATTTCTAAATCCTCCTTGGCTATTCTCAGAAAACTGTTAGTAGAGAGTTAAGGAACCTATAGGTACAAATCGAAGTTCCCCAAGAGCCATTCTTTCCTACAACTACTGAGTGTCCAGACAGGGGACACCTACCTAGGGGAGGGCCAACGGGAGCCTGAAAGTCACTGGCCACATCTCAGAGTTTTTGTTTCTGGTGCCATGTGGGGAAGGTCAGCCTTCGTGTACAAAGAAAGCATTGGCCACGCTTCCTGTTAAATGTGCACTTGTCGCTTTAAAACCCTGTCGTGCATGAGCCACCTTATCCAAGTAGTGGCTGCAGCCGCAGGAGTTTTTCTGGACTAGGCGTCCCCTCCCCCAGCAGACAAAGCTCTGAGTCACCCACAGTCTCCCTCTCCAAATAAAGGGCCTTGCAGTGCCTTCAGATTGGTTGCCATAAGAGGCAAGTTTGTCCTGTGTCTGGCACTGGGGTGTCGCACGTCACCTCTCACATACATGAGCTTCTGGTGCTTCCGAAAGCAGCAGTAGCTCTACCCGGTGCACCGCAGGTGAGAGCAGCACTGAGAACCCACGTCCTGCGACTGGCTGGCCCGGAGCAGCTATTCCTGGGAGAAAACGGATTGATTTCCGGGGTGGGGGGGGGCAGCTTCAGTCATGAAGTAAAGAACTGCCTCGTCGCTGGGGCTCTTGGCAGCCAGAACTCGCGGCCACAGCTCCCCTTTGTCCGCCGGCTCTGCCTGCGTGAGGTGGCTGGGTTGGCAGCCGCAGAGGAGGGCAGAGTTCTCGCTCACTCGGGAGCTGCGCTGAGCTCACCCCGTGGGGTAGGAGCTGTGGATACCGTGTGTGTTGCCGGAGGAGAGAGAGTTCAGTGCGCTGGTGCTCATTAACCTCTGCTGGAATTTTGGGGCTGTGAGTCATTTGTTATTCTATAATGGAAGACTTTGGCTCCTGGCCATTTCAATTTTTTTCACTCCTTTTCATGCTATCAGTCTGTCTTTAAAGATTTCTTTTCCATTCCCAGGCAGAGAGAACCAATTAAAGACTAAATCAAATGGGCAGGTACTAAAATTATGAACATAAAAGTATGTCTAGAACCTTCCAGAATGTTTTGTGGTTGAAAATTAGAAGAATGCTAGTGGCAATTCTTTCTTCTTAGCCATGCAGGTTTTTTATTTTTTTATCTCCTCCTCCCCCTCATCATTTCCCTTATTTAAAAAGAATAATAATAACTGGTAGGCCTCAAGCTAATATATCCCTATTCATCTGGAAACCACTAAAAAAAACTGTTTATTATAATAATGATGACTCAGAGAAACGTGGGAGGCAGTGCCAGTTTGGGTCATAAAGGGCCCCTGTCTCTGAGAGCCGCAGTTGACTTGCCTTAACGCCCAATCTACATGTTGTCATCAGTAACAAATATGTACATTTTTAATATTTTACTTAATTTCTAGTTCACCACAAATCTTGACATTTTTTCCTGTGTGGGTTTTTTTAACGTCTCAGCAGAGCAGCAAATGATGATTTCCTCTCACCGTGACATTCAGGTAAACGGCTGTCTGCTGGACCCCGTGCCGCCCGTGCTGGTGAGGAAGGGCTGCCAGTCGTTGCCCAGCAACATGATGGAGACCTCCATCGATGAGGGGCTGGAGACAGAGGGAGAGGCTGAGGAGGACCCCAGCCAGGCCTTTGATGCGTTCCAGTCCACACGCAGTGGGCAGAGACGGCACACTCTGTCAGAAGTCACCAATCAGATGCTCGTGGTGCCTGCTTCAGGTAGGGCACCCCGGAGCCCCGGACTGCGTCTGCACAACACACCCTCCTGCCCCAGTCTCCAAGAAACTCATGACACCCCTGCTTAGAATGCCGCCTACGTCTTATGCCTTCCCGGCCCACGTTCGCAGGCTGTAGGCTCAGGGCTGCTCAGCGGCCACTGAAGAGGATAACGAGGCATCCCTGGGCCGGCTCCCCCAGCCGCCGAGACCATCTGAGTGCTGTGCGATCCAGCAGGGACTCTGGCTGAGATCTTAAGGGCACAGGTTTGGGGGGTTTACCCCACTGAACGTACCCAAAGCTGATTAAATGGACATGTGAAGTTTCTGGAAAGGTGTTTTGGTGGGAGACTGGAGATTACAGATGCCGGAGCTTTGCAGACTCAGGCCGGTTCTGTCCTGTGTCCCATGGTCAGAGGAGCTGCTGTCTGCTGTTGGTCTGACCTTTTGGGTTGTTTTTGTCCTGTTCTTTTCTCTTAAAGGGAAAATTTTCTCCATGAGTGACAACCCCTCCCTTGACAGTGTGGACTCGGAGTATGATATGGGGTCTGTTCAGAGGGACCTGAACTTTCTGGAGGACAACCCTTCCCTTAAGGACATCATGTTAGCCAATCCGCCCTCCCCACGCATGACGTCTCCCTTCATCAGCCTGAGACCTGCCAACCCGGCCATGCAGGCTTTGAGCTCCCAGAAGCGAGAGGCCCACAACAGGTCGCCAGTGAGCTTCAGAGAGGGCCGCAGGGCGTCGGATACCTCCCTCACCCAAGGTGACCGGCCGCTCTCTCTCGTGGCTCCGAACACTCTCCTGCTGTAGGGCTTGAGGGGGTTGTGGCCATGTCGGTTTCACGCCTCTGGCCGCTGGAAGGCCTTGTGTTTCGTTTAAATTGTTTGGTCATTGTTCTCTGCTTCAGGAATTGTGGCATTTAGACAACATCTTCAGAATCTGGCCAGAACCAAAGGAATCCTAGAACTGAACAAAGTGCAGCTGCTCTACGAACAGCTCGGACCAGAGGCAGACCCGGACTTGGCACCTGCTGCCCCTCAGCTCCAGGACCTCGCCGCCAGCTGCCCTCAGGTGGGTGCTCCCTTCCCATGGGGGCTCTGTGAGTGTGAGGCATGGCCTCGTCCCGAAGGAGTGTCCTGTCACTTTGAGGACCGACTGGAGTCCCAGAGCACACAGGTCATTTTGGAGCGCTCACAGCCTGAAAGCTTTCCTTGTCGCTGCCACCGACAGGTTAGACCTGTCCACACTGGTCCCTGGTGATTAGTACCATGAGGAGGTGTAGACGCTCTGAAGCTGTGGTTGGTGCATAGGGCAGATTTTATATGAATGACTTCTGTTAGTGTCACTGACCTCCCCTCCCCCAGCACACACACAAAGACAGGGATATAAATGCACAGCTTACCACTTCGTTACATAAGTGGAGTAGTCATGCTAAAAATGACCCCCAAAATACTGCTTTTATCCAACACATTTTATTTTGAACCTATTTTCAGTGCATCACGGAAATTCTAGCATTTGATGCCCACATGAAGGTCAGGGCCTCCTGGTGACATCAAGAGCCTTTGCCACGGTACCGACTAGGTAATCGTTCACTACAAAGTGATTAACCCTCAGCTAATTATGTGAAAAGCTTTGAGTCTTATGTCTTACAGAGTTGGGAGTTCCTCTTGGACATTTACGAAGGTGCTTAAACAAAGAATTGAAACGTTCTTCCACGTGGAGAACTGAAAACGTTTTCATCCCCCTTGCTCCTCAGGAGGAAGTTTCTCAGCAGCAGAAGACGGTCTCTGCCGTGCCGGGCCCTGCGCGCCCGCAGCTTCCCCCGCGCCAGAGCCTGGAGGCACAGTATCTCCACAGACTCCAGGTGGGACCCTCCCCCTTGTTAATGCTCACAGTGCTTGGCCACAGTCCACTTTTCTGCACAGCGGAAACAGGTTTTTCTTGGTTAATTTTTTAGGGTAGCTACTTTTTTCCCCAGTAAGCAGGTAGCTTTGACTCAGGACCTGAAGTTTCTAGAAACACATTCAGACTTAGCCTTCTGCTTCTATGGGCAGCGGAAAAGGATTTGTCCTCAGGCCCCAGGAAAGGAGAAAGCCACCGGAAGGAAAGAGAAACCTGGTTACCTTGCTTTTAAGTTTATGCTTGTTAATGAATAATAAAATGGAAATCTCAATCCAACAAAATTTTACTATCAGCTCTTACATTAATGCCTGAAAACCTTTAAAAATGGTACACATCATTCAGTGGATGCTGTGGCCTTTGCCGTCAAGATTTACCTCCACTCTTCTCATTGTGTTTCATCGCGCCGAGCCTTGTAGTTCCAGACTCCGAGAAGTGGAGACATGGACGCCCGTCCCAGCTGGGGCAGCACAGGCCCGCTGCCCCAGTGCTGCTGGACCTCGGGGAGCGAGTGTCCACGCCCTCACCCTGCACGGATTCGGGAGGACACAGTTGGCCTTGTCCTGCAGGCAGACGGGACCGTCCAGTGACTTCATCCTAGATGACTTCATATTGTCACACTCTTCTTCTTTTTCTGCTCTCCCAGAAGCCCAGCCTTCTGTCAAAAGCGCAGAACACCTGTCAGCTGTACTGTAAAGAGCCACCGCGGAGCCTCGAGCAGCAGCTGCAGGAACACAGGTGAGAGAGGGTCCCTTTCTTTGTTGAGGATTTCACGAAGCCAGACGATCCCCCCCTCTTGCGCCGGCGCGGCGCTTTTACCTCCACTGGGACACAGGTTTCGAGACCTGATCACTGATGCAGACCGTCCATTGTTCACGGGAGATGGGCCTGCGTTTGTTTTCTTTCCCTTCTAGTGTTCTCCTTTGGGTTACGGATAGACCTAGCTTTCAGGATCCACGCCCTGCGGCAGTGTAAGTGGGCTCTGAGGCAGGGAGGGCCTCTGTCGTCTCTTGCAGTAATTCACGTCCTCACACCCCTCTGGGAGAAGCAGCCTGGCCAATGTACAAGGACCCTGTCCTTTCAACCTACAGCCACCCCCCGAGGCTAGGCGTTACCCCGCTTTAAAACACTCCAGATAGGAAATCAGCCTCTCGCTTCACAGGGAGAAAAACTTGGTCTCAGAGAAAATGAATTAGTGTTCACTGTAGCACCAAGGGTTCCACCAGAATTGGGGGACAAAAATGTCAGCTATATGAAACCAGACACAGCTGCTTCCTACCCCCGTTTCTTTTGTTGTTTTTTGTTTTTTCTGCTGCGGAAAAGAAGTGGGAGGACTGATCCTGGATTTATATAAAATTGCCATCACTGAGGAAGATTTGAAATTCTTTCTTTTGCTGTTGCCACTTTAGACTCCAACAGAAGCGACTCTTTCTCCAGAAACAGTCTCAGCTACAGGCCTACTTTAATCAGATGCAGATAGCAGAGAGCCCATACCCGCCGCCCGGTCAGCAGCTGCCCCTGCCCCGCCAGGACACGTCCACGCCGTCCCCGCAGCCCCCGCCTTTCAGCCTGCCCCAGCCCCTGAGCCCCGTGCTGGAGCCCGCTTCCGAGCAAATGCAGTACAGCCCCTTTGTCAGCCAGTTCCAGGAGATGCAGCTGCCACCCCTGCCCTCAGCACCGCGGCCCCGGGCTCCTCCGCTGGCCGTGCGCCTGCAGCCGCCGCCGCCGCCGCCCCCGCCGCCCCCGCCGCCCCCGCAGCAGGCCGGAGCCACCCCAGCCCCCTTACAGTTCTCCTACCAGACTTGCGAGCTGCCGGGGGCAGCCTCCCCGGAGCCAGACTACCCCGCTCCCTGCCAGTACCCCATGGAGGGGGCGCCACAGAGCAGTCTGGCTGCGCAGGACTGTCCCCGGAACTCGGGACTGCAGGAGGCCCCCTCCAGCTACGACCCTCTAGCCCTCTCAGAGTTCCCTGGACTCTTCGATTGTGAAATGCTAGAGGCTGTGGACCCACAGCACGGTGGCTACGTCCTGGTAAACTAACCTCAGCACGGGAAGTGAGGCGGGTCCAGTGAAGGAAGAATGTGTGTTTCTATTTTTATTCCAGCCTTTTCAATTTAAAGCTTATTTTCCTGCCTTCTCCCAAATGGAGAAAAAGTAAGTTGCCCACCTGGAATCAGAGGGCCTGGCCAGGCCACGTGTCTCTTTCTCCTGGCTCTGCCCCACCATAGTCCTCTGGGGCCAGTGCGGAGCGTAGCGGTAGCCGAAGTCCTGCCCTTCCAGCAGGCAGAGGCCGCTCTCACGGGAGGCACTGACAGGCTTTTAGGAGACGACATCCAGACCTAGGTTTTCTGTAGAACAACACCAGCTTGTTATCGAGGGAAACCTTGGTGGAAGCAGGAAAAACTGTGCCATTAGATATGGGCAAAACCAAAACAGAACAACGTGACACCAGATTTTTCACTGAAGCCAAGCAACACGCGTTCTGTTACACAAGTCGAGGATACGTGATGGGCTTTGATGCACAGGAAGTAAAGGGAAAGCTGTGCTTTGTCATCAAGTCCTCAGTCTGAAGCCGCTGCTCCCGGTTGTCCCCGAGACCACTGCAAAGAAGTGGAACGTGAGCTTCGTTTCTGGGGCCACGAAGTCACAGCTGGCACTGACCCCTGGGACGGGCAGTCGTCTCCACTTGGGAGCAGTGACTTCCTTCTTCCGAAGGTTCCCTGGGGTGCAGAGTGGACTCAGGGCTCCAACACGGTCACCTGTAGAACCACGAGACCCAGCACAGCGGAGGCAGGGGCAGGCCACAAGGAGCGCTCGGGAGCAGCAGCCCTGGGCCAAGGGAAGACGGGCTATTCCGGCTAAGTCTTTGGTGTAAACCGCTGGTCTGGGACAGTCGATCTCCAGAGGACCGAGCGTCTCTTTTAAAATGTAGTAACTACTCTGACTTTACCTTCTGTGTCGCTAGTAGTTTATTGAGCTTTGTATGTTTGGGCAGTTTCATAGGGCTTAGGAATTTCAAGGACAAGAAACATGAACTTTGATCTCCCATGTGAAGTGGTAGTGCTGTGCCTTTTTTCCCCCCAGATCATGCTTTAATTCTTTCTTTTCTGTAGAAACCAACAGTTTTCCAGTTATGTCAATGCTAAATCCAAAGTCACTTCAGAGTTTGTTTTCCACCATGTGGGAATCGCATTCTTAATTTCCTTAGTTCTGACTTGTAACGAAACGTTCAAGTATTACAGCAATATTTAAAACCACAGACGTGTTAACCACCTAGCGGATCAGCTGTCAAAACACGTGCTATGACTAGTGAAAACGTAACCTTCATTCTTACAGTTCTCTCACCAGAGTAAGTAAAAGTCCAAGTAAAACGCGCCAGCTAGTTAACCATAGACCTAGACGTCACAACCTGTCGCTCGGACAGCAACATCCCAGTGTTACAAACCCAGTGTTACTGACAAAGACTGTCGTTTCTGTCCTGTAGAATGGCTTGTCCTAGCAGCAGATGAATGCGCTAAGCACAAAGCATCACAAAGCACAAAGAAGAGAGACACTACCATGCTGCATCCAGAAACACCTTTAAGTTGCCTTTCCTCGTTGTAGAGGGTGTCCAGGCAGGTGAGAAGCGTGCCCCGGCCCAGCCGCTCCCAGCAGGGGTGAGGGGAGCAGTCCTCGGTCCCGGCTCTGGTGGGCGTGAGGACGTGCCACAGAAGTGCTCTGCTGGGGGGAGCATTCAGGCCTTAGCAAGAGAGGGTGCCCTGGAGGACCGTCGTCTTGTGATTTAACAGCTCACAAAGATCCAGTAGGAATGAATTCTGTTCCTTCTGTGGATTGTTTATTCCTCCTCATGCTTAAACATCATTTAAGCCATCCTTTCATTAAGATCTCTAATCTGTTTTCAATCTTCGCAGAAAAAGCCAGTTATGAAATAGGGCTTGATTTAACTAAAGGATATTTTTCCAAAATATACTACAGAAGCACTGTCATGTTTATGAAATTAAAATGCCTTCTAGTCTGAACCTGGGGTGGCAGGAATGGTACTCATAGGCCGACACCGAGGCCTGCCCACCCCCCCAGACCCCCAAAAGGCCATAAGCCTTGGAGCGGCGGCTGACTGGTGAGGCGAGCCCAGGGCACAGCGGAGAGGCCAGTGGCGGTCGGAGGGCCTAGAGCTGCCGCGGGAAGCTCCCGGCAGGGGCCGGCGTGGGAGACACCAGACAGACCAGCAGCACGTCAGACCCGGGGGTGTAAGCTATTTGCTTTGCTCATTTCAAGCAGAAATCAGGAAATTCCGTAACGATCCGTCTTTACTGAAAGGTAAACTGGTGAGAGGAGACTGGTGACGGTCAGTCAAGTGTGTTCCCAGCCCTGTGGGATCACCTCAGGGCTCGGTCCCCTGACCAGGGACCTCCGGACACTTCCGAGCAGCTACCACACTAAAACACTAAGAAGGCTTCGTATACTGCTCTTTTTACGAGAGGCTACTTTGAAATAATGACTTTCTTTCCAGTTTGTTTCACGTAAGCAGTGTGTACACTACTGTATAGTAATCATTAGCTTTATTATCTTGTAAACCAGGCTCCTCTGAAGAGACTTTGGTGAGATGAACGTGAGGTAAAAATTTCATTCGGCAAAAAGTGCAATATGTGTGGTACTTTATTTTTTATGTTCTTTTTTTAATCCAGGGGTATTAGTCTCTGCTTCAGGAAAAATGCACTAGTTCTGCAATTTCCAGTTGGGCAGGTGTGTCTCTAGTATTTACATGCAACTGATGTGCTGGTCCCTGTAAGGCAAGTAGAGTGCGTTACCACGACAGAAGGGCAGGCAGGCTCTTGCCAAGTCCCTGGGGAGCTACGCTGACCCTGGGGCAGAAGGCTTTCAACAGCCCCCCCTTCCCATTATCCAGTCAGAGACACACATCTGGGGCCCCCGGGGGGAGGACCAGGACATGGCGCTGAAGGAAAGTTCTGGTAGGGACAAAACCCCTTCCCTTCCACATCAAAGTTTGTTCCCAGGAAGAAGTCGACTCCCTCGCTTGCTCAGAAATAAAGACCTGCCAGGCGTGAGTTTCCTGAAGCCCTCCGGTGCGCGGGGTCTGCCCCCCATCTGGGAGGGAGGGCCTCCCCCCCCCCCCCCCCCCCGCCCCCTCCCCCCTCTCCTTTGGCCCCGGGGGGGGGGGGGGCGTGGGGGGGGGGGGGGGGGGGGGAGGCTGGGGGGGGAGGGGGGGGGGGGGGGGGGGGGGCTCTGGCGGCTCTGGGTGACATTCGGAAGGCTGTCAGCGGTCAAACCTAAGCACCCTTTTGGTTTAAAGGAAATTCATCCTTCAGCTCTCTTCCACATTCCTCCTCCTCCAGCGACGAGACAGAGGGTACTCTGACCGCTCTGGCCCCGGGGGCAGTTGTGGTCTCCCCGTGCGGGGAGCTTACCTTGGCCGTGTCTGTACCCCTGAGCCGGGCTGGCCTCTACTGTCTCCTCGGAAACCACCCGAGCCGCTCGCTCTCTGTGTGCCTAGACATCAAAGGGACAAACTGGAGAACAGGTAGTAAGTTGGAGTCACTGCATAGGCAGGGGTCTTTGATCGCTGTGCGGCTTCTGGAAATTTTAACAGAACTTTCAGAGTGGTGTGTGGAAGACAAGAGCAGCACCGTCTGCCTTTGTCAAAACAGGACAAAGTCTTTAAATGTATGTGTCCCCTCTGACAAGTTCAGTTGTAGGGTCCCGCCTGTCTGGGGGCCCCGGGGGGGGGGGGTCAGTAACCACAGAGCCCCCCTCTGGGCCAGCTGCGGCAGCACAGGGCACCTCCTCCTGCAGACTGGGGGGCGGGGGGGGGCGGGGTGCGGCCGACCGCTCCCGGCCCCCGCCAGCCTCCGGGTCTGCAAGGAGCAACGGCTCGGAATTGTACGTCCGCCACCGAACATTTCACACGGAGATTCTGCGAAATGAGGCGGACGCCTCCAGTCCTCACTTCTCACAGCGGAGGCCACCAGAGCTCGAGGGAGGCTGGGGAGCGGGCAGGGCGCGCGGGCGGAGCTGGGGCCGCTCGGGGGCTGCTGGCTTCTCCCTGGCTGCTCTTTCCGCTCCGCGGTAGCGTCGGACTCGCCACGAGCGGACAGCGAGCGAAAAGCCCCCACCCCCGTTAAGCACTGGGTAGATGTGCCCGTCCCCGCAACCGTATTCTCCCCATGGCAGCTGCCTGGCTCTGGGGCAGGTGCCCCCCCGGCGGCCGCGCAAGAACAGGCTCGAGAGACCCGGAGCCCACGGCGCGCCCTGCCTGCGGGTCCGGCCGACCACGGCAGCGGCGGCGGCTCACAGCAGAGCGCGCGGACTTCTCCCGGTCACACGACACGGCGATTTCCTAGAGGAGCCCGTGCTGGAAGGGCACACCCTTCCTGACGGCAGAGGGGCCGGGCGGCAGGGCTTTGGCTCAGGAGGCCCTCAAAGAAGAATCGGGAAAGGAGCCTGGTCTGCGGGAGGGGCATACCATTTCTCTCCAGACAAGGTCCATCAGATACGAGTGAAATTAGACACTTTCAGAGAGAAAACAACATACTTTGAATACTCTGTCTTCTCAGAGGCAAAGTGGGTGGGTAGAGAGGGGCGCAGGAGAAATAGAAGCACAAAAGAACATCGTGGAGAAACGGGACCCCAGACTGGAATTCTGTTCCGCGAGCAAGTGGAGCGAACTCAGACCCGCCGCTGGCTGTGTGGGGCCCATCTGGTTCGGGATCTGCTCAGCGAAGGAAATCAAGTGGCCATGCCTTCCCACTACTGATGGTGAAGGCTCCCCGCCTCCACCAAAATCTCTGGAGGGAAAAGCAGAAGTTTTGCTTCTCTTTGGGGACTGCAATTTAAGAAGTAAAAGTGATCAAGATATTTGCACTTTGTAGAAAGGGCAAGATTATTTGCTTATTTCTGAAAGGAGGAGGGTGGTCTTTGCTGGAAGTTTGGTTTGTGGAAGTTACTTTTGACAAAAATCTGATTGTAGTTATTTTTTTCCGTGTCTTTTTTTTTTTTTTAATTACTAAGAATGGTGAGTTCAATAGCTTTTGGTATTTTGAGTGCAAATCATAATAGTTCCAATGTAAAAAAAAATCAAAAATGGACCCTGTCCCTCAATGTTAGAAAATTACCTAAAATGCAGTTTAATAAATGATCTTTGTTACCAAGTGGTAATTTACATGGGGTAATGTTCTGCAAGGAAAATGTACTGTTTTTATGATTTCAACCTAAAATTCAATTAAAATAAAAACAACTTGTTTTCTAAGAGCCTGGGTGATATGAATGTCAGACAGAGACAGGGCCTTTACCTCATCCGGCTGCGAGTGGAATTTTTAAAGTATGGAAGGTGGCTATGTTCCCTGAGTTCTGGTGCTCATTTCAGGCTACAAAAAACCAGTGGATAATATGTTCTCATTGACGTCAGCAGGGTAAATAATACCTTGCTCTGGGATCGCCCGAGTACACGTTAGCCCTGCACGACGCGGACGGAGGCCCAGCCAGCCACAGCTTGCACACGCACAAGGCACGGGCCAGGCGCTGCCTGCTGCCCCTGGATTCCCGAACCCCTCGTCCGCCCGGCGAAGGCCTCTGTTGCGGGAAGAGGGGAGGCAGGCGCCTCGGGCTCCCCAGGTTCAAGCCAGCTGCAGAGCAAGCGGTGGAACTGGGGGCCAGCAAGACCCCGCTCCTTACTCATAACGGCACATCCCGAGGGCCCGTGGAAGGCTCAGCCCTCCCCCAGCGGCCCCCTCCCAGGGCTGGACACCTGCTCAGTGCCCTCGGGCGTCGGAGAATCCATGAGGCGTTCGAGGCCACTCGCAGACGTTCAGACTTAGCCTAGCGCCAGACCCTGAGTGAAAGGGCAGAATTAAATCCTACTTTCTGGCAGCAAGTTCAACTGAGATCTGGTTTAAATCAAACCATTCCGGTTGAGCCCACGCTACAGAACTGAGACCACTCCTAGACAGGGATCATCTGCCTGGTGCAGGGGGCGGTCAAGGGCAGGAGGAGAGCAGAGCCCTCTGCACTGACTTGCAATGCCCAGCACCACACACAGGCGCTCCATCCTGCCCGCAGAAGACTGGTACCTTCTTGGGTGACCCAAGAACTTAACTGAGTTTCAGTTGCCTCTCAAGGAAAACGCTCAATTTCAGTAATGATGTTTTACAAACTTTTCCCTTTCCCACCAAATTTCTCCATCATTTTTGTGTTGCCAAAAACAACCCCAGGATACAGGCTAAAATAGCAGACCTGCCAGCAGAGCCTGGCCAAAACTAGCCAGTCGGGCCCTTGACCTACATTCCCCAGCACATCCTTCCCTTCTGTGGCCTTTGTGAGCCAGACTTGGCCCAGGGGCCCAGGGAGAGCTCAGCCCCAGACCCCAGGCATCCACTGGGCCAAGCAGGGACCAGGACTTGCCCACACATCCAGAGGGACACACTGTCCACAGCCAAGTCAACCGCCGGCCTCCATCATTGCCGGCGTAGGTCCTGTCCAGGCGCAGCACGCCCTGCACCCCAAGTCTCTGCTCCTGGCCCCCTGCTCCTTCTCGAAGGGAGAATCCACTCACCCTTCCATCAGGGAGGCTTTGCGAGTTTGAATCAGTTTCTCCTTGCTCCCCAAAGATGAGGAAGGAATATGGAGCCCAAGATGCTGAGACTGGGCCAGACTGAGAATGGTGACCCTCAGAAGTCAGTCCGTTACCATGCCAGGGCCACCCGCATAACTGGGAAAGGGGCACAGCTGA